ACATAGTCAAAAATCAATGAAACATAGTCAAAAATCAATGAAACATAGCCAAAAAAATCAAAGAAACACCAAATAAAGAAACTTATAAAGCTGTATCTGATGTATTAAAAACATTTATGGATCTGGAAATGGTTGAAGATAAACTTGCTGACCAGACTAGACAAGTCTTGGTAAAAATGGAAAAAAGTTTTTCGGTTAGAGGAGGCGAAAGTGATGATGATGATTTACAAAGCAAAGTTGTTTATTTTGGGTAATTTATTTCTTTAGTCTTTTTATTTGGTCTTTTTTTTGGTCTTTTATTTGGTCTTTTATTTTATTTGTCAATTCTTTTTTTCTATATTATTTTTAATTCTTATAATTTATTCTAATTTATTCTAAAAAAAAAATTAAAAGAAGCGATAAACCACGAAGTGCAAATTCTACAAAACGTGTACCTTCAACTCCTAATACTCCTATAAAACCTTCTCTTAATCGACGTACAAGTCAAGAAATTGTTAAACCATCACTCACACACTTACCTTCTTATGAAAGAAAATCAAGTGGTCATGTTAAATACGCTAGTGATGGTACCAGTTTATCAACTAATGGCCCGATTGAGCCATCTATAAGTAAAAAAATTTTAAAGGAATCACGTTCAGATGAAAAACTTAAAAGAGAAAAACGAAAAACGATGGGTGGTGTTTCTTTGGATATAAAAGCTAGTGCAATGGCACAATTGGAAAAATTTGTTTCATCTGAACATTTACGAAAGTCAAAACCTGTTAATGATTCTGTATCCGATGATGATTATAATACTATTCGTGGTCGAACTCCCTCTCCCCTACTTCCTACTGTTCGTAAAACAAAAACCATGCCTATAACTCCTCCTCCTTCAATTCTAAATTCGAGATTACCTCCACCTGCTCCTATTCGTAGTGTTAGTTATAATTCTTCTTCAAAACACTCTAAAAAATCTGATCATGATAATCATTCTTCTATCACTTCTGAGGCAAGAAGTCGAAGATTAACTGTTAATGGTTCTACTAATTCTTCGAGTATATCTCCTCCAAAGTCAATCAATAGTAGGACTACAACTCCAACTTCTTCTAAACGTGACTCTCTACCTCCTCCAATAAGTGATACTCAACTTCCTCCTCCCGTACCTGCTATGCCAAGTTTGCTTCCTAAATTAACAAAAGAATTATCAAAGGTTCATGATGATATTCCTCCTGTACCTGCATTACCTTTATCAATAACAAATGATCAAAAATCATCATTATCATCAAAAGGTGATAATGTTTCACCTCGTGAAAAGAGAGATAAAACTACCGAGACAAGAAAAACAAGGCAGAGAGGAGCGGTATGTAAAAGTTTTTTTTTTGATTTTTATTCTTTATTTTGTTTGTTTATTTAGTAGTTAGTATTTAGTTTGTTTTATAATGCTTAAATAAAACAAAATGGATTGGTTTTGAATTATGTTAGATGATAACCGGCCAACAGCAGACTGATAAGATAATCCGACGACAGGTTGGAAAAGTTTGTTGTGAGGGCTGTTGTTAAACTCATTTATCTTACATTATTTTTCTAATTATAATAAAATAAAATAAATCATAGACACTTCCAGCAAATATGGCTCCTGCTCCTGCTCAATTGGCCGCTCTTACTCTGCCACCTTTTAATATTAACGCATTACCTTCAAATGTTAAAATACCTACTCATTCCAATCCTAATATTAAATCAAAAACTCCCACTGCTCCTTTCAGAATGTTAACAACCCCAACTTCAAAAATTCCTACTCCAACTCTGATACCATCAAAACCTACTAAAATTGGTAATGGTTTATCATCACCAAGTGGTAAGGGACTTTTATCCACTTCAAGAGTAGCTCCTGCATCACCAACTAGTAAACAAGGGCGTTCACAATTAAATAATGGTACAGCTGTAAATTCATCAACTAGTAATTTAAGTTCTAGCAAACCTGATAAAAGTAAGTATTCTATTCTATTATCTCTTTTCATTCGTTATTATCCTTTTTCATTTGTAATTATTTATCTAAATGTTTAAAAAAAAAAACAAATCTATATATTTTTTTTCAATTAAAAAGAAGCAAGGACTAGACGCCTATCAACTGCTATATCTAATATGTTTTCAGGAAATAAAAATAATTTATCTTCTACAAAAACTCCGACAAATTTAACTTCGACTAGTTGTAAACAGCGCACAACTCCACGTTCCACTCATTCTTTGAGTGCAAATTCTTCATCAACCAATCTTCCCAGTTCATCTAGTTTACTTACACCAGGTTATAATACTATGGAAGTAGATTCCTCTTCTTCTGCTGCAAGTACGCCAAGTGGTTATAATAATTCTGCTGGCCAGTATGATGATAATACGACAAGTGGTGATGATGAAACTACTAGCTTTTTACCAGGATCTGAAAAGAGCAAGAAAGAGCGCGAAAGAGAACGAAGAAGGCAAGAAGCCCGAATGAAAGGGTCTTCAGCCATGAATCCTCACGTAGCACTTAAAACTTATGCACCATCTTTATCATTATTTGAACGTTCAGAAATATTAGAATATTCTGAAGTTTATTTTGTGGGTCAAAATGCCCAAAAAGTCGCATCGAGTCCTGAATTGACTGGTTGTAATTTTGGCTTCGATGATGATCGTGGAGATTATATCGTAATAAACAATGATCATTTATGTTATCGTTATGAAATAGTTGAAAGTCTAGGCAAAGGTTCTTTTGGTCAAGTATTAAAATGTCTTGATCATAAAACGGGAGAGTATGTGGCTGTTAAAATAATTCGTAATAAAAAGAGGTTTCATTGTCAGGCATTAGTAGAAGTAAAAATTTTAGAATGCCTAAATAAATGGGTATGTTACACTTATTAATTGTTCATTTCATTAATTAATTTTTTTAAAAAATTTTTGTCTTTAAATTCAAAAAAAAAAATATATATATTTTTTTTTAAATATCCTTTAGGATCCTGATGATTCTCATAATATCGTTCATATGGACGATCATTTTTATTTCCGGAATCATTTATGTATAGTATTTGAGCTTTTGAGTATGAACTTGTATGAATTCATAAAGAGTCATGACTTCCAAGGATTCAGTATTGGATTAATAAAAAGGTACGAAATATATATATATATATATACATATATAGCTTTTATTTCTGTTATTATGAATTATGATTGCAAAATTTTAAAATAAAAATATATTGATTTAATTCTTTGTCATAAAGATTTTGCGTCCAGCTGCTGAATTCTTTGTCACTACTACAAAAGCACAATATAGTGCATTGTGATTTAAAACCGGAGGTAGTTGTCGATAAAAATTACATCTTATACATTATTGACCCGAACTATACTGAATAAATTTATTATTTAATGAGCAGAATGTGCTCTTAAAACATCCGACAAAGAGCAGTATTAAAGTCATTGACTTTGGCAGCAGTTGTTTCGAAAACGAAAAAGTATATACTTATATTCAAAGTCGGTTTTACCGATCCCCTGAAGTCATATTAGGAATGACTTATAATATGGCAATCGATATGTGGAGTTTAGGTTGTATACTTGCTGAGTTGTACACAGGTTAGTTAAGTGATTAGTTTAAAATTTTGTAATATTTATTATTTATTATTAATGTTATATACTATATTATATTATATTTTTATAATTGTAATTAGGTTATCCACTTTTCCCAGGGGAAGGTGAACAAGAGCAATTGGCATGTATAATGGAGATTCAAGGAATTCCCGAGAGATATTTAATAGAAAAGAGCACAAGAAAGAAGCTCTTTTTCGGTATATATATATATATATACATTTTTTATTACATTATCAATATCACATTATTTATCTTTTTTTTTTTTGCTAGACTTAAATGGTAATCCACGCCCGGTTATAAATTCAAAAGGTAAACGTCGGCGGCCCGGAACAAAAACATTACAGGGTGTTTTGAAATGTCAAGACGAAGTTTTCTTGGACTTTATATCGCGTTGTCTGCATTGGGATCCTGAGAAACGAATGAAGCCGGATGAAGGTCTCATGCATGAATGGATAACTGATGTGAAACTTAATGTAAATAATTAATTTAAAATAATATATAATGTATGAAATGTTTATCTCTTAAAGTATTAAATTCCATAAATGCCTTTACAGACCAGGAACTATCTTACAAATTACGATTTGATGAGACGACAAAACCCATCATCATCATCTCTTCCACCATCAAACAGTAGTCTTTCGATGAGACAATCAAATTCATCTAGTATAGCTCGTGGTGCACAATCAAGTTCACACAGTACATATAAATCCACAACCTCTGCTTCAGGCCAGAATCACTTGACACCCAGCAACAATCCCCCACGCAGGAGCCTTGATGGTCAAATACGTAGTAATGGTACAAGGCAACAACAACAATATTCCTCATCTATTCCGATGTCCTTAACTGCTAGAAACGAAGGACTTGGTGTCAATGGTTTTCTGGTGAGTGCTAAATCAAGGGAATGAAGATTTCGCATAAAGCCCCGCACGCCAAAAAAAAATAGGATAAATGCCTCGCAGAATATAGTTGACAAAGTTAAAGAATTAAATATAATATAAAGGTCATCTACTACTATATCAATTGATTAAGAATCAATTTTATTAATGGTGTCTCTTATACTATATTTGATCAACTATATTGTCCAACTATATTGTCGAATGAGGATTCATCCCATGAAAATTACAAAGTATAATTCTGGAGTACGCGAAAGGGACGAGCATTTATCAGATGATGAGTCATAAGATTCATATTCTTAGGAATCATTGTCAGATGCCACTTTCGTACAAAAGCAGGTTTTGGGGATTGGCTATTATTAGTAATCTACGGGATGGCAGATGTAAGATGTAGTTGGCAGCAAAATTAGTGAATTGCAATATTAAGGTATTTCAACTCGGTCGAACTGTAGCAACATATTGCGTCAATGTTGAATTTCGTAAATTAATTTTGCAGTCAACTATTAATATACTCGTGTGTGGGTTTTTGTACTTTCAAAAAAAAGCATGTATTTAGACAAATTCATATGTGTAACTTTTTTCTTTTTCTTAAAAACTATACACATATA